GTGGTGGGTTTTCTAATGAAGAATATGACAAGAGTACTTAGAGAGAGTTGGAGAGGCGAGGGAGGTAGAAAGGTAATTGATTTTAAAAGTGATGGGAAAACCCACAGGTCTCAGGAGGGAGCAGAAAACCATCTCAACGGATCCAGAAGCCCCAGCTGCCTCCAAGAATAATGGAATTAATTCTTAGTCTCACTTAAATACATTTTATAATGGGAACTTAAATTAACATTTGGTAAGGCCCCCAGAGATGGAGTCAAAGTGTAAATTGTTACCATTTTTTTTTTTTTTTTTTGCTTTTCTCTCAACAATGGAGCCCTTGTCCTCTGAATACGCTTTCCTTGTAGGCACTCGGTAAATAACTGTGCTCGCCCGTTATCGTTTTGTGCAGCACGCGATGAAAAAAAGACATAACTAATTTTATTACTACATGACCGATTCATGCATATACAACAGAAAAACAAACAAACTTCCGTGCCCACATAGAAGTCAGGGGCCAAGACTAAGCATGTGCACATGTGCGCATGCGTGCATGTGCACATTCATATTTTGAATGCTTGGCACACTGTCACTGCATTCACTGTGGAGTCTGAATAGTGGTGGGTTGATTTGTAAGAGCACAAGAGAGAAACACAGACGGTGTGTTACACTGTTTGTTACTCCTAATCTTCAGTCGGGTCAGTAAGTCCAGGTAGACTCACAGTACACTGGTATTAAGAGTCAGCACAGAGGGCTTCTGAAAGAACGGGCAGCCCCTAAAAAGCAATATTTATATATCTACACACACACATATACAGCTCTGTGCCTCTATAACTACAGAGGACATTATATTGACTACAGTTCAGTTGCTGGAGACTTACTTTAACCTTACAAACCCCCTATCCTTAAAACAGCTCTTCACCTTAAAGTACTGGCCCTGCCTTGTCCCCATAAGGAAGACAAGTCCCCATTATATGACGGTGTAAACAGATCTAGGTCCCCACAACATGAGTAATAACCACCCACTCATACACACACGAACGCTGAGCACGTAGCACATACAGTACAGCATGCACAATGCACACGAAGAACCCGCATCTCCAGAGGCCTCATCACTCGAGCCAAAACACCGCAGCAGCATACATCTTTGATAGCGGCTTTTAAACCTATTAGATCATATGGCTATAAAGTATGCATACAGACTGTACACCGGCTCTCCCGTGACAAAGAGTTTCTCTCAGTGGACTTACCCGCATAAATAAACCATAAGCAAATCCCAAATATTGCACACAAAAGGCAAAAAGGGAAAAACGTGGACTCATGCAAGTGCATATACACACTCACGCCTCAAAGGGAGATCTCAGAGGAGCAGGTAATACACAAAGTTATTTGAATATAAAAGGGAGATACCTGGTCTTGTGATGTTCCCGAAGTATTTAGCCGAAAGTGACAGAAACAGAACGACGACAGGAGCAACAAAAATGTGTTTTCACTGGAAGTAATAACAGCGATGAGGGCCAAGCATGTCCTTGACATCACTGGTAGCATCTTATTAAATGTAATTTTTCCACTTCACTTCCCCACTAGTGACTACACTTACATCTGTAGCCCCCCCTCAAAAAACTGTATTCTTGTATCACACAATAATGACTGTTCCTTCCACTGAGTTGTAAAAAACAAAGCAATCCTCATACATTTTGAGTTTAATTTTGCCTTAAACAAGCCGCAACCACCGATTTCTTTTGTCGTTATTTACCGACTCCCCCCTTTTGTGCCACTAACGCACCAATTTACCCTTAAATTATTAAAAGAAAAGCAGCAGATCTGCTCAATTAAGACGACTATCTCGAAGCAGGATTTTTCTTTCTTTTCTTTTAATAATTTCTGCTTAAAAATGTCTTAAACAGATCTCAAATTAGTTGCAGATTATTTTCCTAACAATCAAGAAAATGATTGACTCACTAATTACTTGAGCCCAAGTCCAAAGCCACCAAACAGCAACTTTAATTAAATTACACGCTCTACAATGAGCTAAAGAACAATTTTAATCAGTGTATATGATATAAAAAGAAAAGACAGAGTAAACAGCACAGGCATTCGGTGCCCGCCTTCTGGCTGGTTCTGGTGCTTGTTGCGATGGACAAATTTCAGTGATTATTCATACAAAAGCACAACCAATCATAATGAAAATACAAAATGCAAAGAGATGCATAAACGGAACAAATAAATGCGGCACTTTATTCAAAATCGCAGCTAAATACCTGCATTGGAAAACCTGGATATTATTCATTGAAATGCAGCAATGCTGAATTTGAACCAATATTACAAAGAATCTCTGAGGCTTTGTGTGACTAAATGATGAATTAGCCCTTTTATCAGAAGCGGCTACACTGAGGTGCATATTTGACTCCTCGTGCAGAGCATTTTACTGGCTCAACTGTGATATATGCGGGTCGTATTCTGTCAGTGTTGCTGAGTGATGACTTGGGGAAATGGGTTAGAAGAGCACCGAGAGATAGTGAGTTGAAAAATGTCTATTTGCGCATGACAGAGCTTCGGTACGTCACCCAGTGCTGCTGTCAGGGGTGAGCCCAGAATAAATGTGAAGCTGACATCCTGGCCCTTCAAGTATCTTTACGCTACAATTAGCTGCTTGTTTATGACAGCAGAGACTGGGTCACTGTCATGATGGAAAATATACAGTAAGTGTGAGTGTGCGAGAGACAAAAGGAGTCCCGAAGCAGAAGAAAACCCAGAACCAGGAGACTGAGAAATCTTACTGGGCCTTGCTAGAGCTAAAGCACACACACACACTGATAAACAGGCGAGTATACACACAGCTGTTCATCCTAGAAGTCAAAGTACACACTTCATACACTCTCCTGCGATGCATCTGAAATGAGAAGTCCTAATTATTATTTCCATTGTGTCCCACTCCTGTGACAAGGACCACTAGCTGTGAATGATTATAATTATTACCCGTAGTAGAATAGCAGTCATGCTGTTGTATCATCAGCAACATCATCCAACAGATCAGGGTCAGATCCAACTTGAAATTCATGTATGCAACGCAATTCACATCCTCTGTGTTAAGATATTCAAAAACATTTCTCATTTGACTTCTGCTCAGAAGCAGTATGCATGGATTATGTTTTGCCTCTGGCGCGCTATGGTAAATGAAAAGTAAAGCGCCATCCGTCAGCTGACTCCATCTGACAGAAAGACCGTTGCATCTGCTCCACAGACCTTTTTTTTTTTTCTCGCTTCTTCCCATCATGCTCGCCTGCATCAACCACAACTTATGATTAAAAATAGCCATTTGATTCAATTACCTCTAATGTTTGATTAGGGCACAAATGCCGCAGTCTCCACAAACAGCAGCACAATTAAACTGAAGTGAATTGCAGCAGATCTCTGAGCGAACGCTGGCCACGCCATAAATTTTAAATACTCAACTTGGGGAGCGAAAAGAAGAGAAAGAAAAAAAAAGAAGATTTACAGCAAAATATGGCCTGTCTCTTATTTGTACATAAATTCACAACATCGTTTAGAGTAGCAAACAAGTCTGTCTTGAATGGCTGGTAATTATGTACAGCAGCAAATAAAGCGTGGTTTTCTTTTCTGAGGCGCTGGTGGCTTGTTAAGTGGTGAACAGACAAAACAGCATTTAGAAAATGAAAGGTGGAGGGAAACATCCAGGGCACAGCGAGCTTCTCTCCCATTAGAAACAACACTGTCTGTCTCGCGACCGTTTGTTTGTTCCAACTGGCTGTACTGGAAAGACGTGCCCCGAACCCCCACCACCAACACTAACTACGTCTTTCTTGTTGTTTCTGTCCCCTCTCCCTCCGTCTGTCCATCCAGCCCTTCCTCTAATCTTCCCACCATGTCCGTCCCCCATCTCCTAGGCAGCTCCTCTGTTTTGTTTTGGGTTGTTTTTTTGTTTGTTTTTTGCATCCTACCTAATGTTTTGGTCCCTTTTTTTCACTTTATCAGTCCTTCTTTTTTCAACCCGCCCACATCCACTCATTTTCAACCACCAAATCAAAAATAAGGCTAACAAATGTGGCCTATTATCCAGTATTCGGGACACTGACAGTACGTGTCCATGAATGTAGAGCTCCAAATGGCTCAAACATGAGGAATCTAGTTAAAAAAAAAAAATGTTCGAATTAGACCAGGGGCACTGCAGACAAGAGGAATCTATTACTGTTATTATATAACAAAAAACTGAGCTGTTATTGCCACTGTGTGCACCATTACAAAGGAAACAATGCATAGGAGCACATTGTGTGAAACCAATTAAAATCCAACCCTGTCATATACCTTCCTCTCTTTCCAGTCACGTTGTGAATATGCCATTTTTACACCATTCATAACGGCGCACCTGTGTCCACTGCGTTACATCTCCGCCTCTTTCAGTATCCTTCTCAAATTTTCCAGCATCGCATCTCACTATCTGTTTCAAGAATCCCACGAGCTGAAAATACAAGGGGGCCCGGGAGAGTGTGTGAGCAGAACAGGGGAAATTTCACATTATCTGTCTATCTGCAATATAAGAGTGTGATGTGGAAGCAGGAAATGAGCTATGAACGTCAAGCCTGCATGCTCATGGTCCCAGTGGCCACCAGCCTACATATTGAGATCAAGTAGGCAATGTGGAAAGTGGTTTAATAGACCCCAGTTTAATTGGACTTTTATTTGTTAATGGCTGAAATCCTGATGCATTACTTTAATTATCTTGGCAGAACTAATTCATGAACACGTAGGAAAAGAAAAAATTGTGGCCGGACTTAGCATTTAAATGGCATCCAAACGCTCCCTCCCTCCCTCCCTCGCTCTCTCTCGTTCTTTTTAAAGCTCCTATCCTCAAAGTACTCTGCTTTTGCTTTCCATGGGATTCTCTCTGATACGACTTGTAAGGCATGTGATGGTTTAAACCCTCAGTGTGCTTTAACCAGCCAGCTGTCATGAATGAGTCCACAGAAAGAGGAGAGGAGAGCACTGAGGCCATTTTTCTCATCTTTTTTAAAAGCGCTGGGGCCCACCCAGATCCTATACGTGAGCATGGCCGTGTTTGCTCTGCCCTCCGAGTGCAGAGTAGGTTTGGCTGCTGCCATGGAAGGGAAAGAGGAGGGGAGGGGAGGGGTGGGCTCACTTCTACACTTACTAAGCCCACTCACACATGAACTGCTCCGTCAATGCTGAAGAGCAGCCAATGAAAAGGTGAGTTCCTTAATGTCTTTCTGATTGCGTCGTTTCTAGTTCATTACATGACGGCACTGTAATAGTTTTCGCCTCACACTGACACTTGAGTTCTTTAAAACGGGGCGTTCTTTAAAGCAGTTTAGCACAGTTTGACTTTCAGCTACAGGGGAAAATGTTTCCCTCTCTCAGCCAGTGCATGTGTACGGTATTTGTGCATTTCATGGTGTGTTTGTGTGCGTGCTGCAGATTGCATTGGAGTATGTTTACGTCTGTGCGCACGCAAGTAGTATGCGAAAACAAATGTGCGTGTCTTCCCTGGAACAGCTCCTGTCTGGGTGGGGGGGGGAGCGGAGCTGGCGGTGAAAGAGCTCAGCAGCGCCTCAGTCCCTCAGGACAGACTGCAGCTCTCTCCTCGCGGCCATGAAAAGCAATCAGAGCTCAGCTTTCTCTCCTGGACTTACCTCTGCCTTTAATTACAGAACTCAGCAGCAGCAGCAGCACAGAGAAAGACTGCCTCCGCTGGGCCACAGCCAGCCCGTCACAACCCCAGCACAGGGCTGCGGTCGAGACAGCAGGCCTCAGCATACAGTGGCCTGACATAAGCACAGTGTGCTTAAACATGCAGTCGGCCCCGGTGAGCTCAGCGTGCTTCTGCACAGACCGAGACTCGGCTAAGGTGCTTCTATACTGAAAACCACAGCGCTCCAAGCATAAAACACAGCAGGGCTCCATACGAGCTAGGAATGGCCTTTCTGTATGCCTAATGAGATGTTCTCACCTGTGCTCTAGCAGGATAATGCAACATAAGCGACTGGGGAATTACGGAAAAATGATCAATAACACAAATAAATGTTTGCTGCTCGGTACACACATGCACACACTGTCAACCAGAAGCAAGACCCTGAGATATGAAGAATGCGAGCACTTGTAGGGAAAAGGATTACTGATGAGGAGCCATTCATTGTGTGTAATTGAGATTCTTTCCCATTCAAGAGACATGAGAGTAGAGGCCCAACATGTGCCTTTAGGCTGAGCAGAGGAGAAGCCACGGTGCACACATGGACAGGGGAAGATAAGAGACTATGTACACAAGCTGCTGGTTTTATTGCTGCAACATAACGCTCGGATAGCATTTTAAACACATTTTCAGAAAACCTGCCAGTGCCGTCCTCGCTGCCGTGGAACCATGCCACGGTGCTGAAATGTGTCATTGGGCTCAATTTCTCACCCAATTTCAACCGAACGGAAAATGGCACTTTGGTGACAGCAATGAGGCTGACCAGAAGGAGATGTGAGTGGCAAATGCCGTAAAAGACGAATCTCCACGGCGCACTCGGTGGCACGCCGCCGAACTAAGGCACGGCTGTTATGATAGCTATCATCATTTCCGTATCTATGATCCTCAAACAAGGCCCTCTCCCCCTCCACACGTCACATAGCCTCGGGTCCAATGGCGCACCGTGCCGTCACACGTGATAATGACACCCACATCAACGTGTCAACTCAATTTGGCCCTCTTATAGGCTCTCTTTGACTCAATCAATGCATGGCCTTCCATCTGGGTTCCACTCCTGTCCTCACATTAGAGGAGTGGGGATGGACAGGCATTTTACTAACAGCTCACTAAACCTGCCCCCACTCCCCACCCTTGGACATCTGCAGTTTAACATCACATATTACATATTTTCCTTAACCTAATAATCCAACAGTGTTCTCAGAACGTGCAGCAAAGTCAAAAGCACCCTGTCAAGTAGGCTACAAAGGCTTCAAACACAAATCAAAAACCAAGTCATGTCGGGTCAATAACTGTGAGCTGAACAGATCATTAACTGTGGCGATAAATTTGCCAAGTTTTTCTTCTTCTTCTTCTTTTTTAATTTGAAAAACCCATCTTACAAGGCATTCCAATAAATATCAGGCAGGCACATTTCTAGCTCGTTAAAATTTAATCCAATTAAATCCCTATTTAAAACAAAGTTACACCTCCACAACAACCAAGCACAGAGGCTGTTATCTTGGGCTGCAGCTCATTATTTCTCAGAGCAGCTCGTCTGGCTGACAGTGTGGTAGACTGGGACATCCAGTAAACATCTGTCATGAAGCATCCTTACAGGGGAGCACAGACACAGTAAGCTACTGATCCAGTGACCCGACAGTGCAGGCATTCACACATGCCTTGGTGCACCTGCGTGTGAGCCTCTGCTATCGTCATGTTTAGGCCAATTTTAAGGATTTGTGCTTATAAACCGTTTATGAATCATTTATTCGCCATCACAGTGGAGGGGCCTAGAGAGATGATGTGTTATCCCATTAGGTTTCAATAGCTCATTCATGAATCATTCATCAGTTTGGACTATAGATTATTCCCCCTTTATTCATTTCTTATTCATTTTGGGCCAGTGTACTGCTCGGGATGCATTACGTTGCTTCAAAATGACGTCCACAGGCCAGTGTTTGCCTTCAAAACATGCAAACAGTGCAAGGTAACTGGCATCAACGCGAACAACCACACGTGGCATCTGTATTTGGATTGAATTTGTGAGCCTTAAGCGAATAGATCGGAGCTTGTGCTTTAAGTAAGTGGGGGTATTTTTTTTCGCAGGGAGAAGGTAATCGATGGAGCAGAGACGAATGAATGTAGGCTACGACAGCTGTCCCAAGGAGGTAGGGCTGCTACTACACCGCATGCATGGTGTGAGTTCCCCCTTTGAATAAAATGTCCGATCAGACCAAATCAAGAAGGCAGGGATATAAATCCGTGTGTGTGTGTATGTGTATAAATCAGGCTGTCCTGTGCATACCAAATAGAGCTCGCTCTCTATTCAAATACACACGGCACGCTGAATAGCAGCATAATAGCGTTTTCTCTGCCTACCTCCAGAGCGTGTGCGCCCAAACTGCGTTTTTTCCCCCGTCGCAATGGGATCCTTCTCAGCTGCCCTGGACAGTATCAGAGATGCGTCTTTCCCCCGAAAGGCAAACACTTCCCCTGCATGTCCCCCAACCCTCCCTCCCCTGCCGCCACCACCAGCACCACCACCAGCAGCAGCAGCAGCAGCCCGGGCCTCCAGTAATAGCAGGTGGACGCGCCTCTCAATGATGGAGACAGCGCGACTCTCCTCTCCCCCGCCGCTCCATTTTCAATTACGGAAGAATTCGTATTCCAGGAAACGCGCTATAGGACAGCCAGCATGTCCTAATATCGCCGCTTTTCTCGGGACCAACAGGGGCCGTCGCCTCTCAAACTCCCGATTCGTGGCGTCCCCTCGCCTGTTATCTACCTTTTACGAGATGCTTGATGTTGCCATTGTCACGGTGTATTTTTTTTTTCGCCTTCCTTTTTTTTCTTTTTTTTTTTCAGCTGAACCTCTACCCCTCCTTGCGACGCGCAGTCTCGTAGGCGCGCACTTTACTTGCTCCCCCTCCGATTCTTCTTGGTCCGACCTATGAGCGCGCACAGCCAGCCGACGCAGGGCCACGCACTGCTTTGACGGACGCGCTGAGCAAATCAGGTATAGCCCACTCCAAATAGGACTGTATCATAACAGGGCAACTGCAATGACATGAATAATGAATAGGCTACTCATGTTTGCTGTGCTGTGTGATAGGCCCACTCACAATGCGTACCGGACTGGAAGCGATATTTGGGGAGACTTGAGCGTCTCTCTCTCTCTCTCTCTCTATCTGTCTCGCTCTCTCAGTATGAATTTGATTAGCAAAACTCAATAAACCATTACTTTAAAAAAAAAAACGTGTTTTGCATGTACATGAATATTTTTGTGTTATTAACGTCTATTCAAGAGGGGACAGTGTTTTTTGAGTATTTTTATGGATTTAAGATCATATGTTAGAGTAATTTTGTCATCGGGTGGACAGGTGGATGTAAAACAAAAACAATCCTATATATGTGTGTGTGTGTGTGTGTGTGTGTGTGTTGTGTGTGTGTGTGTGTGTGTGTGTGTGTGTGTGTGTGTGTGTGTGTGTGTGTGTAAGGTATAATCATTAGGCTAGATGTCACTGTCCAATTTTCAGCTTATGTTCACAAATAAATGTTTTATTTAATCATTTCCCTGAATACTGATCGATTGTCAAACTGAAAACATAAAATGTTATTTTAAAAAGTGGCAACAGCCTGATTTCATTTTTCAGAGGCCAAAGTGCATCCTTCACATGTGACAGGGTAGACAGGCATCATTAACTCACCACATTTGTAAGTGGCACTGATTTGGGAGTGGTTTTCTGCATGTCTTACACAGTTGCTGTGAGCCAGTAGACCACGGTATTTGATTGCGTTTCTACTGTAATCTACTTCTGCTCCACACTGTCACTTTTTTTCTTTTGGTAAGGGACCTGTTTAGTGCATGTGTGTTACACCGTCCAGGCTTAGATTATTATCAGAAATCAGCACTTCCATAATAGATATTTCTTTTGAGGGTCTGTGAGCTGCACAGCTAAGATCCACCTAAACACTTGTTCATATTTTCTCTTTCCTGTGTTTCTTTGTGCAGGCCAGGGCGTACAACATGCTTCAGGCTGAAGGCGGGTGATTGCACAGGGTGGAAGATGTAGGAGGATGACTGCCAAACCCTATGCAAGTTGTCAGCATGCTAAATAGGTTAGGTGACCCACAGTACTGCTGACTCTAGTCTTGGACTTTGGGTTCTGACAGTTTTACAGGTGGGACAAAGGACTCACGCTTCCCCGCTTTAACTTTATGTTCAGTTGTATACTGCAGACAGATCTGTTGAATCTTCGATTGTAGTGTTTGCCTAATAAAATAGAATAAAATTCTCCCTGGAGGTGGTCTTTTTGTACATAGCAGTGACTGTCGGTCAGATCTAGAATCTGTGTGTTTCACATCCGCCTCTCTAAAATTAGAGTTTGCTATTGCTAATGACAAAGACTTCCATCAGATGTGCACAACAAGGAAAGGCAGCAAAAAGCAAATGTTCAACATTTTTGCACAACGGACTGAAACATGAAGTGTCAGCTGTCAGTTTGTAAAACAGTTAGTCATTAAATTAATCGGTTGGTATAATGACAATTATGGTTTCATACTGTTTAATGAATAACAAATACTAAACATTTCTTCTTTCAACCCCTGAAATATGATGATTTGACGATAGTCTGAAAAATAAAGGGTCTGATTTCGAGAACTTCTGGTGGATATTTTTATTTGTTTTATAATATTTTACAAACAAAACGTCTCCGATTGATTCATTTTTCACTTGCTTAAAAATGTCTTTCCCATCGTATTTAACATGGTTAAACTTGAATAATCAGGTTATAACTAAAAGGTATTCTGTCAGCCAAATAAAGCGATTACTGTTTATCTAAACTGGGTCACAGTTTTACATACAGTGGATTATTATGGACATTTGTTTTTGGTCTATATCTTTTGACTTATTTCAACTACTCTACTAAGTCCTGATGTACTAAACAGAGGACGTCCTGGCCTTTCCAAAGATATCTCACATGCTTGGGTGTCCTCTTTTAGCTCCAAAGAGGCAGGAAATTACAAAACAGTTAAACTGAAAAATGTTTTTTCTTCAGTTCTCAGGAGGTTATTGTATTCAGTCTATAGCTATTTGTTGCCTATATATAGTCATCATGGCCATGAATGTCATGGTCATTTTGGAATTTTAATGATTTCTTTGAACTGTTCTTTTTACAGAGTGGAATAATTGTAGAGCGTATATCATTAATAACTTTAACAAACATGAATTGGGCGCACAAGACTTTTAATATATTTGAAATTTTCTCTCATCCATCTAATCCATAGTCCATACGTTCACCCCCCACTAATGTTTGATTAAATGTCCCTTAGCAAGTTTTACCTGAACCACACACTTTTAGAATCCATCAACAAGCTTCCGGCGTAATTCTGACAGGATATTTGACGACTCTCCTTGGTAGAATTTGTAGAGTTCATTTAAATCGGTTACTTTCCTGGCTCACACCCAGCTTTTAAGCATAGTCCACAAATTCTAAATAGGGCTGAGGTCAAGGTTTTGGGAGGGTCATTCCAGAAGCTAATTGTTAGCCTGCTTTATCCACTCCGAAACCAGCTTTAATTCATTTTGGATCATTTTCCTGTCTGACATTTAGTGCAGTCTTCTTAGATTTTAAAGCCACGTCAACCTTTCATATACAGGCTATAAACACTGTTGTTGTTTTTTTTTCAAATAAGCATAAGAATACATAGTATTCAACTTACAATCTCCAAAGAAATTTCAGTTCCAGCGGTATGTCTCAGTTTTTCCGTGTCAGTCTGCTGTCATTACAAAGAAATGCTACTGTCATAACTCAACAGATCATGCTAGCATAGCACTCAACAAGCTAACTTGGTTGTGGAATGGCAGGCTTTGGATAATCATCTTTACATTTGGAGAAGATGAAATCTGTATCCATATTAAACTAGAGATGGCACGATACCACTTTTTTATGTCCGATACCGATACCGATATCATAAATTTGGATATCTGCCGATACCGATATGAATCCGATATAGTGTTTTTTAATCAACAAAACTGTTTTTTAAATATCTTGCTGCATTTTGTATAAGTTCATACTCAAGTTTAAAACAACAACTACACTAAAGCTATTCTGTTATACCTGTATGCAAAAAAAAATATTTCATAGTTCAGCAATACTGATCAATCTAATAAACTTAAACCTACACCATCCTCCCTATTCTGGTATTTTAAAGAGTACTTAGCGTAAATATTAAGCAACCTAACTAATAGGGTTCCAACTCCCAGCAACAACAAAAATAAATAAATAAAAAATAGGGAACCACCCCTCACGCTCCACCTCATGATGCTTAATCGACGTAATCAACCTTAATTTGATGCAGTGTGAAAAAAATGCACAGAAATAATTATTTTTCAAGAAATATTAAATAGATTCAACATCTTTCTTCAACAAAATTGCAGACTGCACAGATGGTACCTTCCCAAAGGAAAAAGTACTATAGCTTACTAGGGTATATTAGACTTAATAGTCACTATATACAGTAATTGACTTCTATTCATTTTACATCAAATTAAAACTTTGGGTGTCAGATAATTATTTATTAAAAGCTAGACATTTTAAATGAGAATAAGAAAGAAAAAGTATGTCTTTGTGCCCCATTTTCCCTGTTCATGCCCTATCGGCCCCCCTGGCTAAACTTTGCTAGATCCGCCCCTGCACAGTTACCAGCGTCAGCTAGTAGAAAAAGATCCTGGTGTAGAAAGTAATATTAAATAAATTCTAACAACAGCTTATCAAGCTTAAACGTGCTGCTGTTGTTCAGCCGCTGGTTTCCTCTTTCTGGTGCAAAGTGGGCCAAAAGCAAACAGAGAACGGACTGATCGTTAAGCAGTTTCATGATTGAAGTAGCAGCAGAGAGAGAGGCAGTCGCTCCATATATCGCTTGTTAAGCTTAACGCGGAATGCTTTACAAACATTCAGAGATGGACTTACACACTTGCTTTACTTCTCTCGGGGATAACTTTGTCGGAGATGAAATGCCGGGTTGCTAGCGAAGCTCCACATAGAGCAGGGCGATATGGCCAAAAATATTTATCACGATATATATTTGAAAATTTGCGATAACGATATAACTGACGATATAATTGATGCGAGACAAAATACAACTCCACAACATTACTAGCGCAAAAAGACAACCTTCCATTTATTTTCACTTAAACAAGAAGCTGGTTTTTATGTACATTAAAGCTTTATAAAAATGTAACAGTGCAAATGCAAATTCCTTGCTGAAAGTTTAACCAAAAGGCATTTCCAGTAGAAATGGGCTGACATATCCTGAGCATAACCATGTATAATATCCACTGAAGTTAAAAAGAGGTGCTTTGCAACATTAAACTGCAGTGTGCAGTACGTATTTTTCGGACCATAAGGTGCACGGGATTATAAGGCACATTAAGCGAAACAAAGCAGTCAGATAAATCAAACTTTATTAAACTCATTCTTCTTGCTTCCTCCACTTCTGTACCATTGATTCATTAATGTTGAATTCTCTGGCAGCTGCTCTATTCCCATGTTGTTGCAGTATATTAATGACTACCTCGGATGGATGGATTATCTCAGTTGTTCTCCTGACTGAAGTTTGGTCCGTTTACAGCATCCTGCCATGCGATTGCATTTGTCTCTAACTATCAGAAACCTTAACGTTAACTTTTTTAAGTGGAAAAGTGTTAGTGTTCGTCCTCCAGCTTCACTGTTTATGTTATGCTAACATAGCTGTGTTGCTAGCGATCACGTAGCACATCATTATATACCAGCTAGCCCAACTTCAGTAACCCTACAAACGTCACTGCTGTTTAGTTTCCTGTCTTCATTTATGTTGGAAGTGATAGCAGAGCTGTACGTTTGATTTTTTTCAGAAATCTCTCAGTCAGAACATGCTATATGCATGGTAACTAGCGAAACTAGCGAGCTAACTTCCGCTAGCTTCCTGCTAACTTCTAACTCCGTTAAATGTAATAAATTTTGTTTTCATGGATGCCTGGAAGTTAAACTTCATAGTTACACCTGGTAAAGCAGCAATGCTGATCGTTTTATTAAAGATGAAAGAATTTAGACAGTTTTTAACTCTCAGTGATGCTGCAGTGTTGTTTGACCTGAAGCATACGGAGTTTAGGACCCAGATTACTCCCAGATTTAAGAGCATCTTAGTCCGACAAATACGACAATAACGACGGCCGCTTGCATGTTCTGCAAAAAAATGTGCTTTGTTCGTGTATCTGACGGACAAACACCAAACCAGTTCCACATCACGTGAAGTTGCACCATTTTTACAAACCAATTCTGGTTCATCTGTTTCACTCAACAATCGGCCATGTGCGTATGAAAACAAAGGCACTGCGCATGCGCGTTTTACTCAATTCTATCGCGATATTTCATTTTCCTATCGTTGCCTAACATTATACCGGTATTACCGTGAACGGTATAATATGGCCCAGCCCTACTCAGGCATGTCCAGACCACCGACAGGTCCCTGCATGCCACAGCCGCTCTATCACGTGATGCATACTGCTCCTGACGTGCTAACGTTCTGAGGTGAGTTACGGCGTGTTGCAAGTTTTGTGAGGTGCTTTCGTGATATTTAATGGATCGGATTACATTTTTATTTTTCTCCGATATCCGATCCAGTAATTTAGGTCAGTATCGGACCGATACCGATACGTAATATCGGATCGGTCCATCTCTATATTAAACAAGACGCAACACTGCTGTTTAGGTTGTTATTAAAAATTACACCCTGATAGCTTAGATTTAAATGCTGATTCTTGTCCTATGGCACGATGTCTGTCTGCAAACAGCTGTACACTAAACAGTTTATTTCCTCTTGTGTGATCAATTTGTAATGTCTCCAATATAATTCGTCCAGTAACATTATTACTGAAGTCACACACAAGGACAGATTGGTATTCTTTAATATTTGATATTACTCTTAGATCCCTCCTCATAACCATGTCTATCTATAACCCTTTGAAACGCGTTCAAAGAGAGCGCACACAAACACACACGCTGCAAATTACCTTTGAAATAGATAGCATTTATTTGATTACCTATGTTTTCACTGTAGAAGTAAAGTACAAGCGCTGATGATCTCCATAGTGACTCCATAGTAACAGAAATTATATCCATACTTCTTAAAATACCTTTTCAACTGCATACATCAGTACAGATGTGTTTTAAGAAAGAGACAAATTAACTTACAGCTTCTCTCAGTGCAGTAAGTTATTAAGTAAACTCAAAGCTGCCAGGAGAGAAACGTTTTCATTCCTCTATAATTAGAGTTTCTTTGTGTCTTTACAGTAAACAGAGGTAATAAATACTGCCATAGTGGAATTAATGTGAAAAATGTGCTCAGCTGTAATGACTCACGTTGAAACTTACATTTTGCTCGTACAGCTAACAAATACACCTGAAAACAGCTGTATTAGGTAGGTGGTCAACGGCTCATTAAAATAGATTTCTAATCAGCCAATCACATTGAAGCAACTCAGAGCATTTACACATGTAGACATCAACAAGATGACCTGCTGAAGTTTAAAGGTAGCATCAGAATTGGGAGGAAAGGAGATTTAAGTGACTTGGCATTGTTGTTGGTATGAGATGGGCTGGTTCGAGTATTTCAGAAC